TTTTTTTTGCGTGTGTGATGGTGGTGGTTGTAGTATTGGTGCTTATGACCCACCCATGTGATTCACACCACTACCCCCATAGCCCCACCCTCTCCTGCACAACAGCCCCCCACCGCCATACAACAGCTGCTTCCCCGTCACCACCACCACCACCAACAGCCCCACACTCACCACCAACAGCCCCACACTCACCACCAACAGCCCCACACTCACCACCAACAGCCCCACACTCACCACCACCACCAACAGCCCCACACTCACCACCACCCCAACAGCCCCACACTCACCACCACAAGACAAAGGTCGCCACGTGTAGCCTCAACAGACTGTCGGGGCAAGTGCTGCGAGTAGCACCTATGAAGGCCGATACGGCACCACGCCCGTCCGCCTTTGTCTCCCCAGTGGCGACCTTAACACATCGCAGCAGGGACCAACTCGAGGCTTTGTCGACCTAGAGAGGACATCTGAACCCAGGACCGGTGCTGATGTTCGTCACCGTGTTATTGGCCGTGACCACCGCCACTCATGGGGTGAAGGCGGAAAGCAGCAAGCACTCATTTGAGGCTGGGCCGACCGTGAATGGCGACACGGTGGCGAGGAGATGTTAACTACCTCGCCTGGTATGCAAGAGGTCGTGGGTTCGAACCCGACCCTGACGCCTGCTGCTGTGTATTTGGAGTTTGCGTGTCTCTCTCTCTCTCATCATCATCACGATGGCTATGAGATGTTAACTACCTCGCCTGGTATACAGGAAGTCATGGGTTCGGTCCCGATCCTGACGCCTGCTGCTGTGTATTTGGAGTGTGCGTGTCTCTCTCTCATCATCATCACGATGGCTATGAGATGTTAACTACATCGCCTGGTATACAGGAAGTCGTGGGTTCGTTCCCGACCCTGCGCCTGCTGCTGTGTATTTGGAGTTTGCGGTGTCTCTCTCTCTCCCAGTGGTTGCGTGGATTTTTATCCGGGTTCCTCCGGTTTTCCCCTCCACTTTAGAATGAACGTCACGCGTTTAGAGCATTTGGCCGCTATAAAATTCCACACGACGATAAAGCCACCTCGTTGGGCTTTCATTTGCGATAGCCAGATCGCCTGTGAAAGAGATCTGTGCAGCTCAGTGTTGGCCTCACAGGTGAAATAAAAGAACGTGGAATTGCCGGGTTCGTAGCGCAGCGCGCTCACCACTAACACCACCGCTCCCCGTAGCAACAACAACAACGACCGCGTTTCGCCACAAAGTGGCCGTGACGTCACCACGACGCTTGTGCCAGGCCATGTGCACATTGAGGCCACGTGAAGTGTCGAACGCCCGCTGGCAGGAGGTCACGGGGCAGACCCAGGTGCCACGGGTCGACTGACTGAGATGACCGAGACGACTGGCTGATGCACCACCTGTGTCCCCCTACTGTGCCAACCTGCTGTGCTTTAACCACCCGGCGCTCCGCTCGTTGTTGTGAGCGTCGCTCCTCCGCTCCCCACGGACACAGACTCACCACCACTAGCAGCATCATCATCAACAGCAGCAGCAGCAGCAGTGGGTAGTAGCGGAGGTCATCTTCACAGCTCACTCTCAATCACGGTGAGCCTTTCGCTGGGCAGCCAGCCAAGCGGTAGCCTTGGCAAGGGCCACGTCCTTGCGCTTTCATAAATAACCGCTGAGCTGGGCTCAATACAATTACGGGTGGCGAAGAACGTCTTACAAATTTAACGCGGCCCGCGCGGGAGAGCTGCACAGCGCTCATCAGTCGCACTCTCTCTCTCTCTCTCACTCTCTCTCTCTCTCACACTCTCTCCGCTCTTCATTTCCTGCCGGACTCGACGGGAATATTTACCGCAGAAATTTGATTACTGCGCTGCGTTTCGAGAGAGTTGTAGTGAGAGAGAGAGAGTTTGGGAGAAAATTGATTGATGCGAGAGCGAGTGGGAGAGAGAGAGGAGTGGGGTGGGGGGGGGAGAGCGAACTCGAGGAGAGAGAGGGAGAGAGATCGAGAGTGGGAGAGAGGGCAGAGGGAGAGAGAGAGAGGCAGAGAGAGAGAGAGAGGCATAGAGAGCGGAGTCTATTTGATTAGGGCTCTAGGAGCCACAGCTGAGCCGCCACCAATTTATTAACAAAAAAGATACGGACAGCGTTCACGCCACGCAACCGGCATTAGCCAAACAACAGCCCCAAGGACGAGAAATCACTGGGCTGGGATTACGCAGCAGCAGCAGCAGCATCACACCACCACCACCACCACCATGGCGAAAACCCGACAGGACTCTCCTGATAAAGAGTCTCGAGATTCGGTGAGGCTTTCATGGATCAACAAGGAGAATATACTACCACCACCGCGATCCCCATCACCACTACCGTCACCACTACGGCCACCATCACCACCATCATCACCATCATCACCACCATCATCACCATCATTATCACCATCATCAAAGACAAAAATGCCCCGTATAGCCTTAACAGACTGTTAGGGCAAGTGCTGTTAGCGAGCACCTATGAAGGTCGGCACAGCACACGAGGGGGTGGGTGGCCAGCACCATGCCCGGCCGCCTTTGTCTCCCCAGTGGCGATGTCTACACACTGCACCAGGTAATCATTTGAAGCTGAGTCGACCTAGGGGAGGCCCAGTACCGGTTCAAATAATCTACACTACCGAACCCCTCGAGCGGTAGTGGAGTCACCGCCACCATCACCACCATCGCCACAACCATCACCACCACCACAGCCACCACCTTCACCACCACCGCCACAACCATCACCATCACCACCACCACCATCACCACCACCATCGCAACCACCACCGCCATCACCACTACCACCACCTTCACCACCACCGCCACAACCATCACCACCACCATCACCACCACCGCAACCACCACCGCCATCACCACCACCGCCATCACCACTACCACCACCTTCACCACCACCACCACCACTACCACCACCTTCACCACCACTACCACCACCTTCACCACCACCGCCACAACCATCACCATCACCACCATCACCACCACCATCACCACCACCACCGCAACCATCACCACCACCATCACCACTACCACCACCTTCACCACCATCGCCACAACCATCACCACCACCATCACCACCACCATCACCACCACCATCACCACCACCGCAACCACCACCGCAACCACCACCGCAACCACCACCACCACTACCACAGCCACCACTTTCACCACCACCGCCACAACCATCACCATCACCACCACAGCCACCACCATCACCACCACCATCACCACCACCACCACCACCGCAACCCCCACGGCCATCAACACCACGTGACACGAGGTCACTATCACAATCAACGAGCAGACGATTCGCCTCCATCACACATTTGTCTCTCCACGTAGAAAAAAAACATTGAATTAGATTTGTTCACTCATCCCATCAGCCTCCTGGGAGTGCGCAATTTCCCCCAGCATTGGTTCTACGCAAGGACAAACCGTGGACCGGTTTCGACATTCAGCGTCTCATCAGCAGGACCAGGCTTGACCTGAACCAATGCTGGTTAACTGCCCAGCTGTTCATAGGCAAGGACCTCTCTCATTTAGACGTTGGCTGTGGGCAGGAGGTGCTGAGGTGTGTGGGGGAGGAGGAGGGCGGTGTGGGGGCGATACAAGTGGGAAGTCTGTTCATCGCGAGCTTCCGGGGCTAACCACGGCCCACTGCCACCGTCCTGCCGAGCCACCAGATGTTATTGGCAAGAGCCCTGCCCATAAACCATGGACCACCCCCTCCACCCCCACGCCGTTCAACGCGTTCGCCCTCTCTAATCACAGTTCACTCGTCACACTTGCGAACAGATAGATACCTCACCCATCTCTCACAGCCCCAGTGTCACGACTATACTCTTCCGAATAGAAGCTGGCCCGGTCGGGTCCAAGAGTGGCCGAGGGGTTCGTGAAGGATGCTAATGCGCAGTTGGAGGCAGTCGGCCTCCAGCAACAACGCTCGCAACAACGAGCGGAGCGCTACGCGGATACAACGCAGAGAGTGTGGTGCAGTGGGGAGCACAGGTGGTGCATCTGCCAGTCATCTCAGTCAGTCAACCCATGGCACCCAGATCTGTCTTATGACCTCCTGCCAGTGGGCCTTCAAATGCACCTAGCATGGCACAAACGCCATGGGTTCTGTTGGTGGCGGCAGCGCTGTTGCCACTCTCACCGCCACCACTACCACCGCCACCACTATCACCGCCACCACTATCACCGCCACCACTACCACCGCCACCACTACCACCGCCACCACTACCACCGCCACGGCTAACACCACCGCCCGGATTAGAAACACACGCTTAGGTTATTTGGCTGCTACTTTTTAATTCCCACGCTGTGATGACGACGACGACGATGACGACGAGGATGCCATCAGCAGCCACTGCGACGAGGAGCAATCATGACAAGAGTGTGGGCCAGGTCCCCCGTCTGATACGAGAGTACCGCCAATAGCTGGGTAGCGCCTTTTACCTGGTCAATGAATGAGTAAATAAGCGAGGAGATGTTCTGGCCTGTTTGGCTGTGTCGTGGTGATGTGCAGCTCGTGCCAGGTGGTCGTGGTGGTGGCGGTGGCTGGGAGGGGGGAGTGGGGGGAGGGGGCAGTGACGGACTGGGACTAGAAAATCGGCTCCGTCATTTTGTAAACACGGCGGGGCCCAAATTTCCGTGCGAACCACGCCGGCCCCGTTGGGGGCTGGGTCCAAAAACACAAATGGGGCCGGTGAGGAGGAATATTTGGGGCTGCTGAATGTGTGGGGACTTGATGCCAACCGGGAGTGCAAATAAGCAAAGAAGTGTACACGTTAGAGTCATGACATGTCTTTGCATGAATAAAACGTATTTTTTTTTTACTTTCCAATTTCCCCACACAGACTGTCTCGCCGGCCCTCGGAATGGACCGGCCCCGCCGTGCATTTACCCTCTGGACTGCTACCCTATGCCCCGTTGCGGGCCCGAGTGGGGGTTGTGTGGTGGTGGTGGGGGCTCACGTCTGGGTACTCCTTGGTGGGGATGTAGAGCTTCTGCTGCAGGGTCACCACAGCCCCCTCGGGCTCGGGTAGCTCGGGCCGGCCCCCACCTCCTGCGCCCCCACCGGCGCCGCCGCTCAGCGACTCCACGTACATGTCCTTGCGCACGCGGCTGATTTCTGCGGTGACAGGGAGAGGCGAATGGAACCGTCAGGGCGTTCACAGAACTACGGAACATTTTTTAACTCCAGACGAGATATATTTATTTTATTTAACCAAGTAAGGGCCCCCACTGAGCTGTTAGCTTCTTTGTCAGGAGCGACCTGTCCACAAATGATCGCTCAACCCCAGTGGCGCAATGTGTCGCGTGGACAATTTTCGGCAGCCAAATACGGTTAGCGCGTGTCGATGTTGATTTTAAATGTGGAGCGAAAAAACCGGAGGGCCCGGAGAAAAATCCGCGCAACCACGGGGAGAGACGCAAACTCCAAATATACAGCAGCAGGCGTCAGGGTCGCGATCGAACCCACGAACCTCCCGTCTACCAGGCGAGGTAGTTAATATCTCGTGTGTGACGTGTGTCTCGACACACACACGATCGAGGACACACACACGATCGAGGACACACACACGTGACGCACACACACGGGATACACACACACACACACGTGACGCACACACACGAGACACACACTCACGGGACACACACACACGGGACACACACACACACGTGACACACACACACGGAACACTCACACACGGGACACACACACACGGAACACACACACGGGACACACACTCACGGGACACACACACGGGATACACACACACACGTGACACACACACACGGGACACACACGCACACACACATACGGGACACACACACACGAAACACACACGGGGCACACACACACACGTGACGCACAAACACGGGACACACACACACGAACACACACACGAACACACACACACGGAACGCACACACACGGAACGCACACACGGAACACACACACACACGGTACGCACACACACACGGAACACTCACACACGGGACACACACACACGGAACACACACACGGAACACACACACGAACACACACACACGGGACACACACACACGGAACACACACACACACGGGACACACACACACGGAACGCACACACACGGAACACTCACACACGGGACACACACACACACGGAACGCACACACACACGGGGCACACACACACGGGACACACACACACACGGGACACTCACACACACACGGAACGCACACACACACGGAACACTCACACACGGGACACACACACACACGGAACACACACACACGGGACACACACACACACGGAACGCACACACACACGGAACACTCACACACGGGACACACACACACACGGAACGCACACACACACGGGGCACACACACACGGGACACACACACACACACGGGACACTCACACACACACGGAACGCACACACACACGGAACACTCACACACGGGACACACGGAACGCACACACACACGGGGCACACACACACGGGACACACACACACACGGGACACACACACACACGGAACGCACACACACACGGAACACACACACACGGGACATGTGTGCGAGCTCTGTAATTTCGCTGTCACGTTTGTCAGGCGCCGTGAAAGAGCGGCACGGGGAGAGAGAGAAGAGAATCAGCAAATCGAGCACGCGTCCTATCACAAAGGCGCGCGTAAAAGATCCCCCGTATAGCCTCAACAGACTGTTGGGGCAAGTGCCCTTGGCGAGGGAGTGGGTGGCCAGCACCACGCCCGACCGCCTTCGTCTCCCGAGTGGCGGCGATGTTTACTACACAGCCCACCGGGGGTGGTACTCATTTGAGGCCGTGTCGACGTGGACTCAGGAGAGAGCGGGAGCGGAGGGAACGCGCGTATCTCTCACAAAGGCACTGTCACCACCCCCCCCCACTGTCACTACCTCCCCCACCGTCACCCCCCCACCGTCACCCCCCCACTCTCACCCCCCCCCCCGTCAGCGCGCGACGAGTCCCAGAGAGGTGTGGAATAGAGGGGGACACGTGAGAGGAGGGGGCGGGAATGACGACGATGATGACGATGATGAGGCAGGAGGGACGGGAGGAGAGATACAGGGGGGCGGGGGGGGGATTAAGGAAGGGAGGGAGGGAGGAGAGGGAGAGATAGACGGGGGGGGCAGGGAGACTAAGAGGGAGAGAGATGCATTATATCTCATTAATATTCCGACGGGCTCCGCGCGTTTACACGCACGCACACAAACTCACGGCGCCTCCAATTAACCCCGGCGGCAGCAGCAGCAGCAGCAACAGCAACAACAACAGCAGCAGCAGCAACAACAACAACAGCAGTCGCAGCGACAACAGCAGTCGGACTGAACGTGAGCGCTCGGGATAATGAAGCAAAAGTTTAAATAGAAATGACTCTCCACACAGCCATCCCGCTCCCCCCCACTCCTCACTCCAGGACAGGGAGGTGAGCGGGTGATCACCGTGGGGAGCGGTGGCGCAGCGGTTAGCGCACCGCGCTACAAACCCGGCGAAACCGAATTTCGATTCCCGCTCACGGCCACCAACACCCGAGTTAATGATCTAAACCGGGCCTGGGCCTCCCCTAGGTCGACTCAGCCTCGAACGGGTAACCTGGTGCGGTGTGTCGTAAACACCGCCACTGGGGGAGACAAAGGCGGTGCTGGCCACCCACCCGCTCGTGATACCGTGCCGGCCTCCATAGGGGCTACTCGCGAACAGCACTTGCCCCGAAAGTACGTTAAGGCTATCGCGGTGACATTTGTCTTTGTGTTGGTGAATCTGTGAGAAATGGAAGAAAAAAAATCACCCCCCCCCCCTCCACCTCTGCCTAGCCCCCCCCCGCCGCCCCTAATCGCACCCACAGCCACGCGCAGAGTCGTGAATATTCATGAGGGGGTGGCGGGGGCGGGGCGTCGTGGGGTGTGTGTGGGGGGGGGTTCCTTCATCTGTTGAGGCGAATCTGAGTCTCTGTGTCGTCACGTGAAGTGGCTGCGGCTGCTCGCCCACGCGAGTCCCCCCCCCCTCCCCCACCCCCCAGTATCAGCGCTGGTAGATCGGCGGCGCTGATGAATCTCGCGGTGTCACCCAGGAGCACGGGGGGGGGAGGGGAGGCATAGGGGAGAGAGGGAGATCCACCGACGTGGAAGCCGCTCCTCAAAGCATCGCCACTGGGGAGACAAAGGCGGCCGGGCGTGGTGCTGGCCACCCACCCCCTCGTGCGCCGTGCCGGCCTTCATAGGGTGCTACTCGCTGACAGCACTTGCCCCAACAGTCTGTTGAGGTTACATGGGGGGGGGGGATATTTGTCTTTTGTTGAGTGAGCGAGTGGGGAGCAGTAGCCGTAGCGCCTTGCGTACCGAGCCCAACGACCCGAGTTCGACCCCAGTCCACGGCGAACACCAATGACGCTGATCTAAACCAGGCCTCCCCTAGTCCGCTGATTTCACCAGAATAAGCGTGTTGTATTGGGGCGGTGCGTAAACATCGCCATGAGGGAGACAAAGGCGGCCGGGCGTTGTGCTGGCCACCCACCGCATTGTGCGCCGTGTCGGCCTAAATAGGTGCTACTCGCTAACAGCACTTGCCCCGACAGTCTGTTGAGGTTACGTGGGCGATCTTTGTCTTTGTGTGTGAGTGCGCGTGTGTGGGTGTCCGAGTCAGTGTGCGTACGTGTGAGTGAGTGTGGCCCCAGAGTGCACCCAGCCTGGCACAAGCACCGTGGTGACGCGACCGCCACTTAGTGGCGAACGACGGTCGCTGTGATTGTGAGCGAGGCGCGCGATGATCACCCATGAGGTTTGTGCGCAGTGGTGGTGACTGCGGGCTACGGCGTTTTCAACACAACTCAGACACCAGCCCCGGGCCGCGCCACTGTTGGCCCCGTGCTGGCCCCGTGCTGGCCTCGTCCGGGCCCGTGCCGGCCCCGTGCCGGTCCCGTGCCGGCCCCGTGCCGGCCCCGTGCCGGCCCCATGTGGTGTGGCTATTTAAGACCGGGAGCAAGTGAGGGCTTTACCATTCTGGCGAATTGCCCGATGATGCTGGATGTAATTACCAGCGAAACGTCGTACTCAAACTGTAAATGTTGTGGATTCACTTTTCAACACACCGGTGGGCTAAAGTAGTGAACTATTTGTCTTTGGTCAACGTGACACTGAACGTGTGAAGGGGCTCTGAGCTACCGCTGCGGTATTTTCATGGCAAGGACAACCCTCTTCCACCGTCATCGGCATGGGGACTCGACCCGTTCAATGTGTGTGAATGTAGCGGCACGGCTCTGGTTTTGTAGTTGGAAAAAAAACACAACCCGAGCTGCACCGAGCTAACGCAACGTAATTATAGTAACGTTGTCAACTCGTAACGCTCCGCCGCTGCACAGTATTTGATCATTGCAATCCCAGAGAGAGGACGGCTTCGTCGCGATGTTTGCACACCGTACCAGGTACTAATTTGAGGCTGAGTCGACCTAAGGGAGACCCAGAACCGGTTCAGACCACCAAAGACAAATATCCTCTGTGAAGCCTTAACAGACTGTCGGGCAAGTGCTGTTAGCGAGCACCTATGAAGCCCGGGACGGCACAAGATTAGGTGGGTGGCCAACACCACGCCAGACCGCCTTTGTCTCCCCAGTGGCGATGTTTGCACACTGCACAAGCTACTCATATGAGGCTGAGTCGACCAAGGGGAGGCCCCACCGCCACCCACGCCGCGGCTCCATTGAATCCTGTCGCGTACCCACGGGCCAACCAAAAACGCGTGCCGCTCCGGGTGGATCTCGGCACGGCCTGGCACCGCTCAATTACCCAGCCCGCCGCTTCACGCCATGTGGGAGACTGCCCCTCCCCTCCCCTCACCACCACCACCCCCCTCCCCGTGCGCCCCCCCCCTCTCTTCACGCAGCCGGAGGGGAGAGGTTTCTCGTAACAGCGTTTGATGCCTGTCCCATCGCGTCGCCGTCGTGTGAGATCAGCGGTGGCCTCGGAGCGAGACGCGGGATGACTCTTGCGATGTTCAGCCCGCGGGTTAATGACACTGCAAGTTCTGATCATTTCCACTCCCCCACTCCCCCCCCCACACGCAATGTTTCGTCGATGGGGGTAATGTCCACTCAGCTACCCCAACACAACCACGTTGCATTATGGTGGA